GACGACGCGGTCAACGGGCTGAGCGAGGAGCAGCGCCAGGTACGGGCGGGGCGGGGAGCGGAGCGGAGCCTGCCGCTGGGCGGGGGGCAGCCGCTGGCCCTGCAGCGGGGGAGGCGCTGCTGCGGGGCCCGAGTCACCCTGAGTCTGCCTCGCTGGTGGGCGTCGCTTGTAAGAAGCCGGCGAGGGCGAGAAGGATCCAGTGGGCTGCTGGCCAGCGAGGACGGCTGCAGGGCTGTGCCTCTGCAAGCCGGGATCAGCCCTTGGCCGCCTGCACCCGCTGGGCTAGGGCCCGGCCAAGGCTGTGCCTAGGAGTTCTCAAGTCGCTCCGGCTTCTCACGGTGGAGCTGCAGTCTAACCAGTGCGTTGCTGCTGGCACCAGGAGGTGGCGTCGCAGCCTCACGTTTTACCAGTCTTGAGGTTTCCTTGGTCTAAAGCCTGAGCAGAGCTAATAAAGGGTCACTCTCTCCTATTACTGCTGCACTGTTCTCCGTCTGCCCCTGTGCTCAGGCTGCCTGGAGGGAGTATCTTTCTGTGTCTTGCACTGGGTGTACAAAAGAAGGAAAGATAAGTAAGTAGTCCAGGTATCCCCTCTGGGAATAGGCAAAGAACCAAACACCAGAAACAAACATGGGCTAGCAGTTCCCAACCTTGGGGTCATGACTCCATTTGGGGTTGCAGAGATCAGATTTTTCCCTTTTAGAGGAGAAAAAAGCAGGAAACTGCATGTTCCCCTTGTATGCTGGCAGAGTTGCAGACTGCAAGGGGCTGCCACATAAGTCTATGTGGGGGGGGAGGGCAGATTGAGCCCCCCCATGGTGAGGGAGTGGGGTGGGGCTGGGGGTGCTGCCCAGCAGGGCTGGTGCCTGGGGCCCCAGGTTGGGGTGGGAATACAGGGCCCAGCTAAGGGAGCAGGATAGAGCCAGGGGTGGCTGGAGGGAGAGGTGCGCAGTGGCGGAGTCAACCCTTCTGGGGAAGAGAGGCATGGAGGGGCACGTGCACGCCAGACTTGTGCATGGGGGGGGGAAGTGGGCTCGGGACTTCTCTCCCTGCTGCTGTTTCCCCCCTGGGGGCCTCTGCAGCGGAGTGGGGTGGGGAGGTTTTGTGCCACTGCTACCTTGCCAGCTGTGTCTCCCTGCCAGGGTGCCCCCAGCCTGCATATCAGCAGAGGGGGATGCAACTCCATGCCACTGCTGCCAGGTGGGCAAGGGTGCCCACTGGTCTGCAGAAGCTCTCAGGGTGAGGACAGCAGGACAGGGAGCCCTGAGCCCACAGCAAGCAGCCTGCATCCACTCTGGCTGTGCTGCCTTCAGGGATTGGGGGCTGGGGTGTAGAGCTGGACTCTGCACTGTACTTGCATTGCAGCAGTTGCTGCCTCCCGTGGGTGGCAGCTGGGGCTCAAGCACTGTGGAAGGGCTGGAGGGACTGGGTTGGGAGCAAGGGGTCCATGCTGAGGTACTGGGGTTATAAATGGGGCCATGCTGAGGAAAACATTGGGAAGTATTGACCTAAGATATAAAGTAAAGCAGTAAAAGCATCCAAAGCTTGACAGCGTGCGGAGGATGAGGTTACTAGGAGTGTTTCAGTTGCTGGTTTAAAATAGCACCCCCAGCTTGCTAGTGACTTTTGTCCCTGATAATTGATTTCGCTGCCTGTGTGGTAAGTTTGTTGCTACAACCTGCTTCTAAGTGGGTAAGTGTCTGAAAACAACCAATTACCCCCAGAAATGATGTTTATTGACCCTTAATTGTAGCATCTGCATGGTAGCTTATTTGTTTTAAATGTATTTTGAATTGCTCAGAATATGTAAGATATAAAATTTATATTTCTCATCACTTTTTCTGGTGTGGTTACTGGCTTCTTAAGCATCTGATCAAATGATCTGTGTTTCATAGATATGCTTTGACACATTTTTATATATAAAAGTATCCAGAAGCATCTTCTTGATGAAAAGACTCTCATAATCTCTGTCCATTGGCTGTGAAAGTACCAGACAGAAAAATAGATGAAGGGATCAGCGTATTAGAAACTGTCTAACTACAGAATCTCTAAAACACTTACCATTTTCCCGTTCTTACATTACTGTAAGACTCACTTCACACCCTATTGCTATCCCCTCTTAAAGATTGCAGTCTTTCAATGTTAAAAGATTAGAAACATTGTTTGGGGAGTCTTTTATTACCTGACACTCAAAGCTGTCTGGTTTTACTTTCTAGCTTTGAAGATTGGGAGCCTAGAATGTGGTCAGTGATAGCATGTTGAGCATATTCAGGGGAAAAAAAGGAACCATATACTGATATGTATTTCCCCCCCTCCCCTCCTTTCCTTCACAGCTTAGACAGACCATGATCAAGTTCTGCCAGGAGCATTTGGCTCCAAAGGCCCAACAAATTGACCAGGAGAATGAGTTCAAGGGCATGCGGGTAAGCCCTTGATGTATGTATTGAAAGTCTTTTTGCTCTGCATTGTGCCTGCATCCAGAAGAAGGAGCATAATCATGCCACATAAAATCATAGGAAGTGCGGGTTGGAAGGGATCTCAGGAGGTCATCTGGTCCAACTTCCTGCTCAAAGCAGGACCAGCCCCAATTAGAGCAACCCAGCTGAGGCTTTGTGTATGAAAACCCCCAAGGATAGAGCTCCCACAGCCTCTCTGGGTAACCTGTTCCAGTGTTTTACTGCCCTCCTAGCAAGAAAGTTCTCCTTAATATCCAATCTAAACTTCCCTTGCTGCAACTTGAGACCATTGCTCCTTGTTCTGTCCTCTGCCACGACTAAGAATAGTCTAACTCCATCCCCTTTCAAACCCCCCTTCAGGTAGTTGAAGACTGCTATTAAGTCTCCTCTGTCCTCTTCTCTAGACTAAATAAGCCCAGTCATGAATACTTGTTGGCTGTCTTACCCTTAAGATTAAAAATTCATGAAGGAGTTTAAATGAGAAATATACAGGTTTCTTCAAGGAAGCTATTGAATTCCTACTAGCTTTAGGACTGTCTAACCAGAAGTTAATAAAAAGAAAGCAGTGGAGGACTGACAGTGATGTCTCTTCCCTGCCTGCTGCAGTTCTTATCGGGGTGCATGTTCTAGGTTGTCTCTTGTCTAGACATATGATACATTTGAAGCAAAGCAGTCTGCCACAACAGGCAATGAACTTTTCTCATGCACGGTCTTTTTCATTAAATTTCTTTACATAAAATACTCTGTGCAAACACCATTGTATAAGCTGCTGTTTCAGTTTGGAACTTTTCATATCTGTCCAACAGAAGCTGTTAAGTTCTGTGAATCAGACGTGCTTTAATTTATGGAGCTTATTGGCCTGCCCCTATGTTACAGTGCATAAGTTTCGCAAGATTTAAACACTTTAAAATACCTGCCAGAGCCTTGCAAAACTCTGCTGTCAACATTCTCAATAAATAACTTCCAGCCTTATGTAACTTATAAAAATATAGCCCATTGCAGTAGATGTCATCCAGATCTGTTACATAAAACTGATGTGCAGCATCTAGAGCAAAATCCTTGTGAGCACCCAAGTCCAAAGACCATTAACTCCCCTAATATGAGGAATACAATTCTTGCAAAATCTGATACCAGCTTTGGCAAGAGGCAGCTTGTGCCCCAAGGCAAAAAAGCAGTTCTCTGAGGAGGCTATCAGTTGAGATTGAGTCAACATTGGAATTAAATTGGGAAACAAATTAATCCTTTGGCCCTGAGCCTGCAGAGATATAAGACTGTAAGCATAATGCCTGTGAATAGTTTTGATTGAACGCAGTGGGACACGTGAAGCTATACACATGTGTAAATCTTTGCAGCCTCTAAGTCAAAACTATGAAGTGGCAGCTGCCACTCCACAAGAAAGGGGGGTGTTTATTAAGGGAAAATAATTTAGTATGTTCAAGGAGATGGGCATACAAAGTCCTGTTCTTGTTCCCTGTCTGAGCTAGATCACATTGATTGCTGTGTTCTGTGTTTGTAGGAGTTTTGGAAGAAACTTGGAGAACTTGGAGTTCTGGGAATCACAGCTCCCAGTAAGTCAGTTCTCACCTTTTATACCAACAGAATGATTCTCCATGCAAAATGCTTCCCATATAGGTTCATAGGCATCCTAGAGAAGTAGGGACCATAAGAGGTCACTTAGTCCAACTCCTTGCCTGAGGCATAAACCGTCTTGTGTCCCAAAGGGGGATTGAATCTGTGACTTTGGTGTTATTAGCACATCACTCTAACCAACTGAGCTAGTCAGCTACTCATTTCTTCTAGCACAAATCACTAACCCAAGATAGTACAAGCCCATAATGGAGGCAATATGTTCATCTAGAGTTCCTGTTTCGGTGTAATTTAAAACTCTTTTGAGGGGATGAGGTGAAAAAATCATTTGTAGTTCCCTTTGCTGAAACTGCTGTATTTACTTGATTATAAGGTGAGGTTTTTCCCCAATAGCCCCTCATCTGTGCCAAAAGCAGCACGTGCTCTGTAACGGAAACCAGCTATGTAGCTGACAAAATACAGCCAACACAGAGTGACTATAAAACACACAGCCCATATTGGGCAAACGTGCTAATGGGAACTTTTTTTTTGTGGCCCTTAAACAAACAAACAAAACCCAGGAAGATACTCCCCCCAGGAGGGAACAAGCACTGGGCCTAAAGGAACTGCAATATCAGACCAGCACTAGAGGTACTGCAATACCAGGCTGTTGGTTGGAGAAGCTGGAGCAAGCTCCAACACCCTCTCCTGGTACCAGAAATGCTGATGGGAACCTTGTTTGGCCTTTAAAAGCCTTGTTTTCACTCCACAGGGAAATGGCACCGGGCCTGGAAGTACTGCAATAGCAAGCTGACAACAGGAGGCCAGAGTTACCTCTAATACCCTCCCGTTGTTTCCAAAAATGCTTGACCCTAGGCAATAGGTCAAGTTTTCTTTGCAAAAATATTGTGTGTCTGTGTGTGTGTGTGTGTGTGCGCATGCGCGCACACACATACCAACACTACCTCTACCAACCTGTCTGATGACCCATATGGTGCAGCCCAAAACAAACCTGTACAGTTACACCATTCTCGTTACACTAAATGCACCGCACAATGGCATCTTTGCACCCACGTGTCCGTCACCATCACTTTTACTCATCACAATTCATATGCTGATTGCATGCATGTGAAAGGACTCCAAGCAAAATCTCACTCTGCTTTGGGATTAGGAGGATGAGAATGAGATGTAGCATTGGGAAATGTTTGATTATGATGCTTTGGATGTTTCTACATCCATTAAAATATAAAACTATAGTATATTTTATAAGTATAACAGGCTACTCATTAATTTATTAAGCAAGCAATGTATGGTGCCTTTAAGATAGACGAGTAGAGATTCAGGAGCAATGGGGAAATCAGGAGTAACCAGCTCAGGCAGGCAGGTAGTCAAAAGTGGAAGTCCAAATGTAAGCATCTGAGACCTCCAAACAGGTTTGAGCCCAATGCTGAGAATTTTTAGATTTTTTTTATTAAATACAAATAAATTAATCTGAGCTGACATTGACTTTTCTTCTCCTCTTAGTGGAGTATGGGGGATCTAGTATGGGGTATTTGGACCATGTATTGGTGATGGAGGAAATCTCTCGAGCTTCAGCAGCAGTTGGACTCAGTTATGGTGCTCACTCAAACCTTTGTATTAACCAATTTGTGCGGAATGCCAGTGAAGCACAGAAGGAGAAGTACCTACCTAAGGTATGTAATTAGTGAAAGATTGGTGCCTGTGGTATGTGGTCTGGAATGAGGAGAAATACCAAGCAGTAGGTTTAATTACAATTATGCTAAATGGTCTAATGAAACTAAAAGAATCAGCAAAGGTCACAAGGTTTCAAACGTTCTTGGTGCATCTACGTGTTCAGTTAACATGGAGCAATAAACTCTGGCGCAGTTCGTGCTGGAGTCTGCACACGTGCCCAGGACCACAGCAGTTTGAGCTGGGGTGGAGCAGTCCTAGGCTGGCAGTAGGCTCAAGGGGTTAGCTCTGATCTGTGGGTGGCAGCGTTGGGTGGCAGAGGGGCTGGCTGGGGCATGAGGGTGCTGAAGTGCAGAGCCGTGTGGCAGGCAGCCCCTGCACTTTAGTACCCTTGTCATGCCAGCCCTGGTCACCGTCTGCACATGCCCTTCACTTGTAATTACTCTGCCATAGGGTAGTTCTGCCCCTGACAGTGCTATTGTACAGCAGAGTTAATTAATTTACAGTGCACATATAGGCAGTAATGCTTTACTGTGGAGCTGATTAAAGCAGAGACAGAAATGGCAATTTTCACCTGATTTTCACACTCTACAGCTATGATCAAACACAAGTGCAAAGCTGCAGAGCACTTTAAAGGGCCCAATCCCTGGAATCTGAACCCTCCAAAGCAGCTTCACTAATTTCTGTCTTCACTTGCCAGGAGTAGAGCTTGGCTGATGCACCCCAGCATTGCTCTCGGTGCTGTTTTCCGAATGGGAGAGGGGGAAGGGAGCTTATTCTAGGGGTTGCCCAGCTAGTGCTGGAGAGGGTGGCGGGGTGGATTGGAGGCCCCCTTCCCCCGCCCTCCGCGAGGTGGGGGACTCTAATTCACCCACCACACACACACTCCAGTGCAGCTGGGAAAACCCTAGAACAGACCTCCCTCCCATCCTAAGTCATCACAGGAGCTGGGAGGGGGGCAGAGCTAGGGGAAGAGGCTGCAGAGACACATCCTCTCTCCCTGGATCTGCTCCAAATTGGAGCTCAATCTCCCACCTCCCAACCCAAAAGCTAATATCTGTTGGATTGGGAGGAGCTGTCTGACTTATGGCACATTCTGTGAAGCGCCATGTATTAGATAGACCCTGCACTTCTGTCTGGTCTTTAGTCAACTCCTCAGTGGAACGTGGGCGTAGATGTATCCTCTGTTGCTGACCTGGGCTCTAGCATGCCATCTAGTGGGCACTAGTACTTGTGCACCTAACAGCCATACACACTGAACTGAGAAAGTACTGCATTCTAGCATTAGTATGTTCTCTCAGTGGGAGTTTAGTTCAGTGTCAGGTCCCTTGCTCCCTTATTAAATCGAAAAGGCCTGTGGACTTCTGGAAATTTTGTATGGTAAAGATTCTTTTGTCAATGTTAACTTCATAGCCAAGCCTGAAGCTGTTACTACAGTTACCACAAGCTTCTGCCACTGCACAGATGCTACTGTTACATTGAATTGTCCTTTAAATAGATAAGGACGTGGTTCTGCTTCCTGTGAAGTCACTAGGCACAGAATCAGGCTTTGTAGTAAGAAAATATGTAAATCCTTCTTTTGCTGTTAAATCATGATAGGAGATTGATATGTCAGCTGTTAAATCACGTTTTACAAAACAAAAAAGAAAAGCTTAGAAAACAAATTACACAGGGAAGGAAAAAGGGCAAGGAGAGAAGTACAGGATGAAATGGTCATAAAGTAAAAGCAGCAGCTCTGCCAGATCTTGGTTTGAGGGGACACAGAAGGAGGGTATCCATCTGCTATTCTGTCACAAGTGAGGTGGGGATCATGGCACTAGTTTATTGCCAAGCCCTTTGCAATCTCTGCCTATACCTCTCATCAGTCTTTTGTGTTTTACAGTTCTAGTTTTAAACAAGTTGAACCTCCATCTACATACATATAAAGCATTTGCCTCTGCCAATCAGCCATTTAAAAGGGCAATCGGAAAGTATAGAACATGGAGTTTGGAAAAGGCATATGGCTGCCAGCATGATTCTGTTGGCACCTTCCTGGGGAGAGAGAGAGAGACAGAAAAATCTGCTTTTAAAACAGGAACTGAAATGCATATTGCCTCATCCTGATAGTCCCACTGTGATTTGGTTCTTTGCCCTTAGCATAATGACAAAAGTGAGCCTGTTGTCTGAGGTCTTTCAGGTACAAGGTTTCCCACTTGCATCTCACATCTAGCACATTAAATTTCGATATTTGGTGAGAACCCCTTTTCCCCCAGAATACAGCAAACCCATTTTCTTCTCTTGTCCGTTTTCCTTGTATATCTCTTTTCTAGTTAATCAGCGGGGAGCACATTGGAGCCTTAGCAATGAGTGAACCCAATGCTGGTTCTGATGTTGTCTCCATGAAGCTGAAGGCAGAAAAAAAAGGTAAACCATGTCTTAAAGTAACTGGGAATAATTGTACACACTGGGCAGAAGAAACACTTGAGCAATCTCTTCTTTACATTTAGATTTAACTTTCTCAGCCTACTGGGCTCTTCCTAATCCAAGACATACCAAGGTATCAGTCCAGACTGGTGTTTGTGTTGCTCTGTAGCTCACAAACAAAGTTTGCCCAGGTGTATGGGTGAAGGGGGACTAACTAATGTTCCTAAATGCAAGAAGGGTAAACATGTCTGTCTTGGAGGAGAGTTAAAACATGCACCGTTGTGGTTTTCTAGAGTGTTTGTTATGGTGGAAAGGTTGCCTTTGTGACTTTAGGGAGGGCTCCGGCTGTGGCTTATTTCATTCTTTGGACCCAAGAATCAAGGATTTGGGGATGTATTTTACCCAGGACTGCTTTAGGGATTCTCTTGGAATGTCCTAGGGTATAGACACATGTAATACTTAGCCTAGTTTAAATGCATTATAAACCTGGAATGCACAGATGTACCTATTAAAGCTTCCCAGAATGGTTCAGAAGTATACCTTGAGTATCCAGTACTCTGGTGCACTGTGAACCAGACCAGTGTTACATGTTGACTCCAAGATATGGGTCTGCTCAGTCCTCCAGGCATCCCAAACAGAATTATTCCTCAGCTCCTTCACCACTGCAGCTGGCTGCTTTGGTGTGCAGTCAGAACTTTACTGCCCCCTCCCCCCGCCGCTCTTTTTGGCCCTTTTTATCAATGAGCTACCTCCCTTGTACTGCTTGTTCAGGAGAAGCTAGCTTTCTAACAATAGCTGTGTCTTCACTCTACTCAACCGCAGGACCTTATAATTCTACCCTGAGCCCCTGGGAATCCAAAAATATGGATCCAAGCACTCTTCCAGCCCATCAGCCACCAAGTTAGGAAAGCACACTGAAAAGTTTGGTCAAATTCATATTACTGACCTTTACTGAACTCTTGCTTAGGAGAGAAGGGAAAGCATAAAAGTGAAAATGTCCCTAGCCACAGGTTACCTGCTCCTGGTGCCGTCAAACAATGGGTGCAAGTACTCTCCCCACTCACCCAATGGGAGGCATTCTTGGCTGGGTCCTTACTCTCCACCCACCCCCCTCCCCTACCCCGAAGTCAGAGCTACAGCACTGCAATGCCTGAAAGATGACCATTTCTGCCTGGAATGCTAGGGCATTGCACATGTGGATGTCTCTGCCTTGAGATGATCATGACCCAGTTCCCAGTCAGTGACATTTGGAAATGGTTCAATTGTTACTTGCATCCACACCCTTAGAGACCCTGGCTTATAGTTTGTTGGGTCATGGGTAGGGGTAGAGGTGTTTTTGTGGTCCTGGGATTTAATCCATTTGAACTAATGATTGCCACTTTGTGTTTTTAGGAGATTACTTTGTTTTGAATGGGAACAAGTTTTGGATCACTAATGGGCCAGATGCTGACGTTCTGATAGTTTATGCCAAAACAGATCTCAGTGTTGTTCCAGCTTCCAGGGGTATAACTGCATTCATTGTAGAGAAGGTAGGCTTTAAGTTACTGAAGAGGAAGATACCTGCCATACCTTGAATCCTCTTGAGGCTACAGTCCTAACAGAACTAATTAATTTAGAAGGCTGAGTTGTTTTATTTTGATGAATTAGCAGCACCTTGCTCAGGAGTATATTGTCATAGTAACAACAGGACAAGTTATGTCCTCACCCTCTTCTTACACCCAAGTTTAACAAAATCATGAATTCAGTGGGACAGAGGACTGATTATAGTCAGCATTACTGCAGTATCAGCAGGGAGCACTTGGACCATGAGAACTAAGCAGATAACCTGCTTCCTGGATAAGAAATTTAGGAAGAACAGAATCCAATATAGCAGGGCCTGCAGTACTGTAACAATACTTGTCTCCTATAGACTAACCAGGTAGTCCCTAAGGTGATACCCTGCCCTACCTTCTGCCTTCTACAAAGAAATATCAAAGACACATGATCCCTTGACATTTCTTTCATCATCTCCTTGGGCAAGAGACTCCATGGCTTCCTTCATGCCACTTCTGTACAACTGCAGTGTCAAGAGTGCCATCTTTACTTCTGGGCACTATAATAGCGCCTGTTTCTCTCCCTCCTCAAGATTTCTTTGCAGTGGTCTGTTAATGTGCTGTACTACCCAGTGGCCTTTTCTTATCCTTTCAAACCTCAGCATCATTTTCATTTTCCTTTCCCTTCTCTCCCACTTCTTAATTTTGGAGCTAATAAAGTATGTATCTAAGAACACTTTTGTGATCTCCTACCACAGGCTCTCTACTCCCTATTCTCCAGTTGTCCTCCTTTGCATTCCTCTGGCTGTGAAAGCCCACTCCTGTGCCATTAACTTTCAGCAGGAAGAGAATTAGGACCTTAGATTGTGAGCTCTTCAGAATCAGAGGGACTGTCCTTTCCCCTCCACTCCTTTTCAATTTGAATGTAGGGGCATCACATCTAACATAGATTAAAATACACAATTTACAGTCCAGCTAATCTGTTCATGCACTTCCCAGAGTCAAACTCAAACACCACAACTACAGGGCCTAAAGAGTTAATCATTATCCTATATTGATTTAAATATTTAGCATCTGGTGCTGTGTTCTGACTAAGCCATTCTTATGTGCTCAAGATTCATATGCATTAGAAAATGGATTCCTCTCCCACGGTTCATGTGCTATCTCCAGCAGCAGTTGCTGGTACACACACTTGCTTTCCTCCCCCACACCTGCAGCATATCCATTTGTGATTGTTCCAACACCAGAAGTTGTACCCTAATGTTCCTCCAGCATTCTCATGCATTGCAGATCCCTCCTTATTCACACAACTGAGGAAGTTTCAATTTTTAGCTGGGGTGATTTTTT